ATACGTGACAAAATAAGTCGCGACTTACATAAGACGCGACTTAAATAAATGGAGTTATCGCATAAATGGTTCTTTACGGCTTTGGTCTTATTTATTTGCTATAGCTATGTTGTTTTGGTTGTTTTTGTTTTAATATACAAGGCTAATAATTTTACGTTGTTTCAAGTTTCTGGCATGTGTAGTTAGACTTTTTGTCTAAAATTTCTTATTTATTAAGACGCGACTTAAATAAGAACAGCTAAAAGTCCTGTTCTTATGTAAGACGCGTCTTATCCAAGATTGTTAACAAGTTGTCAACGGCTTGTTAACAACTTTCTACCAACTTGTCAACATTAAGTTGTGAGTGACAACGTTGTAGCACTTGATAAAATGACAGCATTGTTACAACTTGTTGACAAGCTTGCTACAAGCCTGTTGCGAACACATCTTGATGACAAGTTGTGCGATTTTTATTTAACTTAATAAATAATTCAAATGATTCCTCATCTATTTTTTTCTCCAGCAAACAATTGAAGGAAAGACAGTGTATGTGCCCTGGCCTGAAAATTTCGAGCAAGGATTTGCAAACAACGTGACCATTATCAATCCACTGGACAGAACAAATGTTGACCGCCCGCCAAGTTTTGCTGTGTATATCTCAGATTTGATGAAACTAACAGGACAGAAATTCACCAACAAACGACATAATGCCAAAACAGTTTGGAAAAAGAGCTGGTGGGAAGATTTAGTTAATGGCGCTATGGAAGTCTACGCTAGCAAAATGCCCAAGTTTTATTATTTTCAACAAGAAAAATCGTATAGGTAGTGTAGGCTTAATACTGACTAAGCACCATCAAGATGAGCTTCGCTGAGCATTGTCGTGCAACAGATGATGGTCAACTGGCCGTTTTCAGAATGAGAAAATGGTGTTAGTTAATCTTGTACAATTCAGTAGTGTTTGTAAGCTTTGACTAGCTTTGGAACATTGAAGGCTCATTGGCAAGGAAAACCAGTACACACAGGGAACCTGCCGTACACTCGAGGAAATGCTTGTCAAGGAACAATTACCCATCTGTACGAGGGCTTCATTTTGCTCGGTTCTACCTATAAGTTTCAACATTTTTGAAACGTAACTGATTACCATCTGCTGTTCGCATCAATTATAGGTCGATTGAAGTCGATTACACATTACGTCACAGCGGCATGTTGCCACCGACAAAAGCATCTCAATATCTGCCTGTCATCAGATTGAACTTGTTTTGGTACCAACATACATGGTCGCCATTTTATTGTTTTAATTCCCAAGAGACTGGTCGCAATCCACCATTGCAATAAATAGCCTACGGTATAATTGCACTCAAATATTCAGACAATTAGCACTATATTTTGCACATATTTTTTATTTACATCAACAAATGTGAGAGTTGGTACCTGATCGTAGTATCATAAAGTTGACAATAGTTGAACACACCGTGTCTTCATTTTCTTTCTTTCATTAAAAGGCACATTTTTAAATTGTCTTGATCTTTTCCGTTTCTTTCGAACACGATCACACAAAACTTGGCGGTTTAGTCCATCGCTGTCTTTCTGCGCCAATTTTTCTTGTATTTTTTCGTGCGTTAAATTTCCTTCCACGTGTTCATTCGCATTTTTTGCGTGTTCGCTTGCATTTTCTGTGTGCATAGTTGTTTTCCCCACGTGCTCAACCGGGGCTTCAGCCTGCTCAATTAAAATTCGTGCGTGGTCAGTTACATTTCCCGCGTGCTTAATCCTTTCGTGTTCGTGTTTTGAGAGTTTTGTTGCGTGCTTATCAGTACGTTTTGCCTTGTGTCTACCTTCGAGTACGTGCTCAGTGGCACTGGACCTACGCGTGCTTCTCAATAAGTTAATTTTAGTTTTTCTAGCTCGTCTGGTTTCAAGTCCCTGTTTTATAGAGGTATTTATCTTCCTTCGATTCTGGCAATTTTCCGGTGTGGTTGTTTGGAACTTGCCTCGTTTTGAAGCGAAGGCACACACGCATGCGTAATCCAATGACGTCCTGATATAAAAAAGAAATCATCTGCATTATTAGTCTGTATTATTATCCGTTTTGACCCTGATAAAAATAAAACCATTAATTAAAACACCTTGTTCCTTGGATGACTTCTTCCTCAATTCTGATGACATCCTTAGCGCAACCATCAGGAGACTTTGATGAAATAGCCAGGATATGCCATAAATGTGTTATACACTGACGAGCCTGCAACAGAATAAAACTGAATCTATTGCAATCCTGGAATTTTTTCCAATTCAAGGAATTTCCAGGATTTTCAAGGCCCGTGGACACCCTGAGTTAATATCAGGAAATAGTAGACAGTGGTCAACTGGAAAGCTATGCTCCTTTGACCACTGTCCACTACCACTATATTGATCTTATCACGCTTTTTCTTTTGGTTATATCATTTATTCCAAAACTGCTTTGTAATTAATCCAATGAAATAGTGCCATTAAAGAATCTTGAAGGCCTTTTGTCGGGAAGTTACGCTCGAAACGTGGAAATTCTCCTTGTATTTTTCAGGTAATTGAATCTTGATCAATCTGAAGCTTTCTGGATCTATTGCAGAGTGACACGGTTCAATGCAGCGCTAATTTATTGGGTGTCGTATTAATTTGGGTTTCGGTAATGATTCCTACATTTTTCCATGAGTAAACGTTTAAAACGAAACTACCTTTGCGGTTTGGTTTTTATTTCTTCTAAGAAGAAGGCAACCCAAAGCATACTTTAATAAAACACAAAACAATAGACACTCCGAAAATTGTAAACATTTTCATTCTTTCAAAGCATACTTACCCTCACCGCTCTAGCTCCCCATTGCTGTAATTTTTCTTCAGCTTCTTGTGGTGTGATACATTTACTATCCACGTATGCTAAAAGTGTGTCAGCAATGAGATATTCAAACGAAGATGGCTTGACTGACTTCTTTTCACCACCGACACACATACACTAAATATTTAAAAAAACAAACTATAAACTAAATTTAGCTAGTTCACTTTATTTATACTGGATAGCTCTATCAGTTCTAAACTGTTCTCCCTGTTCTCCCTGGAGATCCAGTAAGGATCACCTCTTATTGATCCAGTGTTAACTACAACAGGAGGAAACCTAAACTAAACTAACTTTATTTATACTGGATAGCTATATCAGTTCTAAACTGTTCTCCTTAGGCTTAGAGGTCGAGTGAGGGCCATCCCTTATTGCTGCAGAATTTTAGTGGAGAAAAGTACCAGAAATTTAAGATAAATGGAACTACAATCAAATAATAATTTTCTTACTTCATGAATAAGGACATATACATAAGGTTGCAATCTGGCAAAGTTAATCTTGCTTCTGTCAAATACTAAGTTGTAACTCGGTGGATATTGAGAGAGCTTCTCTTTCAAACTTTGTGTGTTTCTCCAGTGGATTCGTCGCAAAACTTTCAAATGACGTTTTTCTATCTTTAATGAAAATAACACAATGTAGGTGAAGTGGCTCAGGTCTAGGTAAGCATGGAAGTAGTGCATGAAAACTTATGTGCATGCAAGACAATTTTGTGTGACCTTGACATGTCCCTGACAGTTCCAACCAAATAGGAACCAGGTTATGTGTTACCTTATTCTCAGGTGGTTCACAAATTTGTAATTTCTGTGTGACGTTATCAAAGTATGCTCCTGCTTCATTAAACAATCTGCTGACACCAGCATTTTTGGCAATGAGGTCTATAGAAATATAATTATACATACATCATATGACAACCTAACTGGCCAGTGGCCTATATGAACCAACCGACTGACCAACCGACTGACCAACCAACTGACTGACCAACCGACCACCTGACTGACCGACCGACTGACCAACTGACCGACCGACCAACCGACTGACCAACCTACCAACTAACCCGACCAACTAACTGACCAACTGACTGACCGACCAACCAACTGACTAATCGACCGACTGACCGTCCGACCAACTGACTGACTGACCGAGCAACTGACCATCCTACTGACCAACTGACTAACTGGTCTGCTGACCAAAGTAACCAACCACTTACTATCACACTTGTCATGAAACACATATTTAAATCTTTTTGGCAACATGCAACTGTTTGTCTGCTTTGATATATCTGCTTTCGAGCTAACTTTAAAGTCTATAATCTCTGTTGAAGTTGCACAATGTTGAGAGTTGCTTTCCAGAAGTTCTTTTTGAGTATCATTTGATGAATCTTTGAGGTTTCTTATCTTTATTCTCACTTTCTCTATTAGCACATCATCAATTGGCAATGGAGGTTTTATTTCAACAGGATATGGGTTGTCTAGTCAAGAAAATCATGGTCATTTTTGCCTCGGATTCTCAGTTATACAGCTACACATGACCAGTGGCAGATTTTGTTTCAACAAGCTTTGCAGGCTGCATTATATCACAAATATGTCATTAAACAATGAGTGGTTTGACTAACTGACGGGTGTTCATTGCAGGTGACGGTGAATGTTAGGGTGTGATTAGCAAATTATGAAACCGGATAGTAAGTCTATTGTCTACAACTAATGTCTGTGAGGTAGTCAGCCTGGGACTGGACAGCATGGAGAACAATGGGATTTTCAGATGAAAAGACAAGGGAACATTCTGTTCACTAAATCGTGACTTGGTTCTACTATTGTTATGTTAAAGGGGAAGTCAAGTCCGTTCTGCGCATCGGTTCTGCGCATAACAATAGAGGGCCCTCTGAGGTAAACATTGCCCAAATTTTGAATGTTTCGAATTTTTCTGAACACAAACTCTATTTCATATTCATGTAGAAGCATAACGAACCAAAATGGTGTTAGATATTCAGACAGTACATCATATTTTAAAAAATACAGCAGTTCAAAATGTAAACAAACCGTTTGTTTACATTACGGACTTGACTTCCCCTTTAAGTACCATGCACCAGACTGGTAAGTATGTTTGCTACCTGCATGGTGAAGTTCTCTTCTCCAGCAAAAGAACCGTGCCTAGGATGGCTAAATTGTGTGTGGAAGATCTTCAACGTGTATGGCAAACTTAGCAGTCTGGATTATGCTAATGCAAAAGGCAACGTGCCAAAGTAAAGTATTATTCAATCCATTAAATTATATACCGGGCAAGGGTGGCACCCAATGTGACTTCTTGCATTTTGTTTTAAACCTACAACGCCCATATTTCATAAATAAAATGCACATATCATTGTCAGCAGCATCTTGAGGAATAAAGGTACCATTTGCTGTAAACTTCCGCGGCATTACATAAATATTATTCCACTTGACAAATAAATAAAATTTGCAAATTTTGCATTGTGCAGACAAAGTTCGGAATTTCTCGTACAATTGTCGTGACGGCCGAGCAGTCACCGAGAAGTCGCCGAGCAAAGAGAATAAACCCGACAGATCTATTTCGCGAATTCTTCACGAATATGTTACAGGAAGATATAGTTTAATCAGGAATTGTAAAATAATATATCAAAATTTTCCTGTACTTATTTATTGTTTTCCACCGTTCATTCATATCTCTATTCCCTAAATATATTTTAAATCGCCATGCTGCAAATATGTTGTATTCTTGATGTTTTCTGAAATATATGGCTTTAAAAATACACGGGTTTCTAAATTCTCCCAATCGCTTATAACTCCAGTGTAGACATCGTTTATCATGGCGGCTTGTTGAGTCAAATTTCGCAGTATAATGGAGTCGGATAGTGTGCCGAAAAACTCTTCTTCTCCGGCTCCTGAAATAGATTTACTACCAAAATATACTATCCCTGGCATTCTACATTTTATTCAACATGAGTGGACGCGATTTGAAATGGATAGGGCGCATTGGGAGGTCGAGAGAGCTGAACTACAGGTACAAATCTTACATCGTATATTTTGTTGATTATATCTTGAAAACGTGTTCATATCTGGCCTGACATTTCTATGATGTGCAACCCTAACCCTTGGGGAATATAGCCGTAGTTTGCTTCAATTTAGCTATAAATTTTCTAGGTGTAAAGTTAGTATTAAATAACAGATGCACGTCTATCAAATGTCAAGCCAAAATGTTCGTGATTTTCTAATTATTCAAAGCTAGTTTAGGCTTCAAAAACTTATTTATCATAGAGCTAGGAATTGTAATTTCTTTATTTGTTTTATTCTTGTTATGATTATTTGATAAAGTAAATAATACATGTATTGACTTGGACGATTTCTAAAAATTCCGATTTTTACAATTGTCCAATTTTAATAACTTGAAAAGATTTATCAATAATATCATATGATCATAACATTGATATGTCACAGTCATAAGGCAGGGTTATATGTACGCATATATTCAGTTGTGTACAAATAAAAGATGCTGTATGTTATAGTGTTTCTGAGTTGTATTTCAGGAAATAAATAAGTAAATTCAATAATGAATTTCAGAATTATAAATAGCTTTTGTCATGATCCAGTTCAATGCACAAGTGCATTTAAAGAATTTGGTTTTTTGGCCTGGTTTTTTTACTATTTTTTTTGAAATTGCCTTTCCAAATCCAAAATTGGATTTGATAGAGGAATTGGCACATCCGCCCCAACTTGTTACCCCTCTGCACCCCCTTAGTAAATCCATCCCCACATTGAGACATTAGGTTTTAACTGAAGTCGTATACATCAAAACAAGGCTCTATAGCCAATATGATATACTTTCCAGAAGGATGTAAATACCCGAACCAGAGTAGTAAAACATGTCTTTAATTATATATTTACAGAGCTTGGAATAATATTCAAAGATTGTCCGGAAAAAAGTCTGATGAAAATGAAATTTGATCGGAATTCATTTGATCAGAAATTTTTGAATTTGGTTGGACATCTTTTCTATTTTATTTTGACTCCCGGTGTCCATTGGGTGGTAAATAAATAATACTTTAAATGCCAAACACCACTAGTATATACAGTACAGTATAGTTAAATGCTTTTTAAAGTTAACAATTGTGTATTCTTTGCGCAATGATCAGACTCATTTGAGCAATGATCAGACTCATTTGAGCAGAGACAACTGATTGGTATTTTTGACCGAACAAAATGTCCAATCAATTTATCATTTGGTTGGACAAACTGTAATTTGGTGGGAAAATGACTTTGATATTATACCTGCTTGCTGTAGAGTCGTAATTTCATATGTTTGTTGGCATTTTAGGCAAAAATTGCATTTTTACAAGGGGAAAGAAAAGGACAAGAAAATCTTAAACATGATCTCATTCGTAGAATTAAGATGTTAGAGTATGCGTTAAAGCAAGAACGGTATGTGTTTACTATTGTTTCCATCTAAGAATGAACAGTTGCATGAGAGTGTCTATCTATCTTATTAAAACATTGTCTATTCTTACATGAAACTTTTGTGAAGGTTTCATTAGCTCAGACAATTTATTAGCATAAGTATCTCTAAATGTGATCAGAATAGATCCTATAATACTATTGTTTGTGGAAACACCACGTAAATTACTGCAAAGCTTTCAATCCGTAAGCACGGATCTTCATCAGTGCTAATAATATGTGTGACATATTATTAAGTAAACACTGATGAAGATCCGGGCTTATGGATCGAAAGCTTTGCATTAGTAAATTTACGTGATGTTTCCACTAAAAATAGTATTATATGTTTTATTGCCATGCAAACCTACAAAGAACCTAGAGTAGATCTTGTTGAATGTTTTTGACAAATCTGAATGTTTCACATCAGTGGCGAAGCCAGTCATGGTAACTGGTCATGCTATGCTAACAGGGTTTTTTTCAGGGATTTTTTAGGGCCGTAAAACGGCCCCAAAAACTCAATCTTGAATTGAGTTTTGAAACTCAATCTTCTCATCAAACTATTCTGTACAGTACAATGAAGTTGTTTGAGTTAAATTCATGACTTGTGCAAATTAGTTTTCAGTTGAAAACCCGAAAATTAAGTAAAAAATGGCTGGAATTCATTTCATAACACAAGAAAAACAACGCATTCACCGTCTTTAACCAGTTTATAGTGTCCCTTAGTGCCCCTGCCTTAACACATTGCATCTCAACTGCATAAAAGTGGGTACAGGTTTCAGCCTCCCAGTAGGGACAGCCTCAGACCCCCCTTCAGCTAAACTCAATCTTCTCTGCAAAAACGGACCCAAGAAAAAATCCTGGAAAAAACCCTGGCTAATAAACCTGCAACTAAATAGGTTAAAGACAATACATTCTAAAACTTTGAATAATGCAAATCATTGAAAATTTGCATATCATGACCTGTTGCTATGGCTAACTTCGCCACTGGTTTCACATGATTACAGACAATGTTTTTATCTGTGTTTTTATCTTCGTTAAATGCAACAGTTGTACTCTCACGGAGGGTCAGAGTTGTAGAGTGGAGGTTGGTGCTTGAATTTTGCTTAGGATAAAACCCAAGGTTTATGATTATATTGTCTAAACCTATGTTGAAATACCCAGTGATCTTCTTGATTGTCTTGTACTAAGCGGTGACCTGCAGTTTCGACCCTTCTTTATTCCCGTGGTATTCTTTCATTTTTCACTGTTTGTGTGTTGACCTATCTGACATGTATTGCAATGATGTTAGCATATAAAAAATAAATAAGTATTATTTTTTTTATGTAGTGCAAAATATCATAAACTAAAGTTTGGCACAGAGCCAAATCAAGAAGATTTAAAACCTCCACAGTTTAAGGACTCCTCTGGACCAGAGAACACTGAAACTCAACAAAATAGCAAAACAGGTTTAAATTGGCGACAAGGAAGACAATTACTACGACAGTAAGTTCGTTAAGATGTTGTTACAACCAGTAACCACACCCAATTAAAGCATATGACTGCACCAATGATTGCTTGTTAATCCCAATTAAGCAAACGACTGCACCAAAGATTGCTTGTTAACCCCAATTAAGCATATGACTTATGCCAATGATTGGTTGTTAACCCCAATTAAGCAAATGACTGCACCAATGATTGCTTGTTAACCCCAATTAAGCATATAACTTATACCAACGATTACTTGTTAACCCCAATTAAGCCAATGACTGCACCAATGATTGCTTGTTAATGCCAATTAGGCATATGACTTATACCAAGGATTGCTTGTTAACCCCAATTAAGCATAACTGCACCAATGATTGCTCGTTAACCCCAATAAAGCATATGACTGTACCAATGATTGCTTGTTAACCCCAATTAAGCATGACTGCACCAACAATTGCTTGTTAACCCCAATTGAGCATATGACTTGTACCAACGATTACTTGTTAACCCCAATTAAGCATGACTGCACCAATGATTGCTCGTTAACCCCAATTAAGCATATGACTGTACCAATGATTGCTCATTAACCACAGTTAAGCATATGACTGTTCCAATGATTGCTTATTAACCCCAATTAAGCATTTGACTGCACCAATTGTTATTCCTAATTATTAATCATTAATTTGTGCAGATTAGTTTGTTATTAAACTTCATTAGCATAAGGCTGCATAAATGGCCGGTTCCAGCATATTTTGCCGGAGCTGGAGCCGGAGTTGGAAAACTCCAGCAAAAACTCCGGCAGACAAAATTATGAAAAATTATTTCATATTTCAATGAACTTTTGGTAATGGAAAAATTAACTTAAGTGATTTGAAGTTACTATAAAGTTTAATTTCTTGCTCCGATCCGATTCATGGCTTCAAAAATTCTGCAAGCGCATTGCTATAACAGGTGGGAAATTGTTTTATTTTATTAAAATGAGTGAAAACAAGTTTTTGGGCTTCTCATTTGGGAAGAAACCATGGATGTGCAAGAATTTAAGTTCGTTTATTTAAAGGCTATTGAAAAATGTCCTGGATAAGAGACTTTAAATTGAAATCGGGTAATTATAAACTATTTATTTCTACGACGAAATATTGACGAAATTTAACTTTTTCCGAAGATGCAAGTTGTTTTCACTCCCTAGACAGATGAAATTAAAAAACTAAACTCACGGTGGGTTTAAAATTCATTTTTCAAGCATTTTTCTACTCAGAAATATCTTTAAAACGTTTATTTATGATTAAATTCTTGAAAAGACTTGTGCAAAAATTGTGATTTTGCTAAAAATAGGAAAAAGCTAAATTTTCAACTTAAGATTGTAAAAAATCTAGTCGAGAGCCTCAAAACGAGAGTATCTCTAAATATTTGATACTAATCAAAGTATTTTTTATATGAAAATACGGGTTGATACAAAAAACGGCACAACCGTTTAATATAGTCTGTAATAATCTGAATAGGTGCCTCTGAATATTCCGCTAGAAATTGCATGTGTTTGCTAATCCTGTTTGTAAAAGCATATCCGTTGAAAGACTAGAATCTATTGATTCAGAAAATATGAGCAGTTTTGAAATCATGCGAATACGTTTCCCTCTCTCTCCAATTTAATACGGGGTGATTTATGGAGGTGAAGATTAGTAAAATGAAATAAAAAAATTAAAATATTTTAAAAATTTGCCGAGAGCCTCAAAACCAAATATGGTTTAAACTGCTCCTTAAAACATATACTTTATATTGGGAGATAATTCATTTATCTAAAAATACGGAATAGTAGGAATTATTGGACGTTTCCATCAGAATCGGAGGTAGTTCCGATGTATTTTATACATTTTTTTAGCGTCTGAACGTTCTCTTCGCCTTCCCAATAATGCAATAGATTAACAATGTTTTGTTTGCAGAAAAAACGAGACTAAAAACGCCAATACAACGCTCAAAAATCAAATTACTATATTTACTCGCCCCAAGTCTCTTTCTCTTAAACCGCGCCAATTGTAGCGCATGCGCAGACAAATTTCCCACCTGTTCATTGCTATCGCTTTTGATACAAAAATCCGCTGACCCCGATGTATTTTGGGCGAAAATACCACGCTGTCATGCGGTTTTACTTTCTAGAAAACATTGTTTAAACAAGCACCGAAGCACGTATGTTTGATAAGTAAAGGAGAAAGCTCAAAAAGGAATAAAATAAATTCTGAAATTACACTGAAATACTTTCGCCTGCTTCTACTTTTAAATATGAAATTTCCTTAAAATTTCCTTGCCTGAGCAGGAGCCGGAGTTTTGACTGCCGGAGTTAAAATAACCGGAGTTTGCACAGCTCTATCATTAATTGCTATATTCTTCAGATATCTTCAAGAAATTGGCTATACCGATGCCATACTCGATGTAAGGTCATCTCGTGCACGATCGTTATTGGGTTTAACCTCAAATGACCAAGCAAACAAAGCCAAGCTTGGTGAGCCAGCGAAAACCAATCATGTGAATGACTCTGAGGCAGCGACGTCCAATAAACCAGGACCTGTCAGGATAGCCTCTGCACCTACAGGGAAAGATGTTAATATTGCAATCAAAAGGTGGTTGTCTTTTTGTATAAGTGACATAATTTATAGGGCTGTTTGGTACACCGATTTTTTCAGAAATACTTGTGTGGAGTCCAGTGTAGGTAGTATTCTGCAATGAGGTGCCGTGGTTTATGTCTCTGAACGACCTGAAAAATATATCTTAAACATGGTGGTCCAGTGTAGGTAATATTCTACAATAAGTTGCCATGGTTTATGTCTGAACTACCGGAAAAGATATCTAAGATGTATGTCGGAAAAGATATCTCAAATGTGGGGTCCAGCATAGGTAGTATTGTACAATAAGCTGCCATTGTTTGTGTCTAAACTGGCTGGAAAAGATCAATACAGACACTTCAACATTTTCCACCAAGTGGGCACAAAGTGCCTTTGCTTGAAAAGTTGAAATGTTTAAAGCCTTTTGGGATAGTTCAGGCACAAACCATGTCTGCTTTTTTACATCCATCTCTCATTTCCAGTCTTCCCAGAGACTCGGAGGATACGACAAACGAAGAAGAAGCGATATCAAATTTTGACTTCCTCCAAAATGAAGGTGAAGATGAAAATGTGAATGAAGAAGATGATGGTGATGATGGTGGGAACGCTGATGATGAATCCGACGATAGAGAGGACGAGGTCAAGGAGCGACGAGTTGTGAAGAAAGCAAAGCAAGGTGGATAATAATATATAATATTTATACAGGAAGCCTAATAAGTAGTGGATAATATATAATATTTATACAGGAAGCCTAATCAGTAGTGGATAATATATAATATTTATACAGGAAGCCTAATCAGTAGTGGATAATATATAATATTTATACAGGAAGCCTAATCAGTAGTGGATAATATATAATATTTATACAGGAAGCCTAATCAGTAGTGGATAATATATAATATTTATACAGGAAGCCTAATAAGTAGTGGATAATATATAATATTTATACAGGAAGCCTAAATCAGTAGGAGGCCTAATCAGTAGTAAACAAGGTGGATCCAATTTCACATCAAACGCCGATTAGCTTAACCCTAGGTTGTTTATAAGTTTGGAAATATTTTTTCAGAAATCTTGTCTGGATCAGTAGGAGTTTTCTTCCGTTAACTAGTCTGGTTGATTTCATGGAAATGCCAGAAAAGTGGGATTTAAGGCAGATAAGTTGTCTCCCTGTCACAACTGACGTACTGCTTGCTTGTGATGTTACTCTGAGTGTATATATCCACACCGGGCAAGTTTGAAAAATATGCCTGGCCACGGTGGGAATCGAACCTACGACCTTTGGAATACTAGCCGAATGCTCTGCCAGTATTCCAAAGGTCGTAGGTTCGATTCCCACCGTGGCCAGGCATATTTTTCAAGCCTGCCCGGTGTGGATATACACTCAGAGTAACACCACAAGCATCTTATTCACCTGAGTGCATTACACCAACACATCAAATATTACGTACTGCTATTAGGATCGCTTATCATTTGTTAGTTAGCAAATACGAGCCTGTACATTATACAGAATATCGATCAGTTTTCACTGTTTTTACTGATCCAATGTTTTTACTCACTTGATCACTATCACAATAATTACCAGCACAAAAATACTAAACGAATCCCACTTTAAACCTTCCTCGTATAGTAACTGTAAACCTGGGTGGTACTCGCACACCTGCAGCTTTTTGACAACTCTCAGAAAGGCGAGGCACAACGACGAATGTACAATGTAGATGGGGCGAGACTTACATCTAAAGTGCTGGTCAACCAGCCGTGGAAATTCCTATGAGGGCGTTGACAAGCTCTATGTGCCTACATCAAAATGGTAGATACAGTACCTAATGCGTGGGTGCTTTAATTAACCTAGCAAAGCGAAACCACTTACACCGTTATTCTCTTCTATTATTCTAATAAATACATTTTAACACTTTTTATGTCTGTGTTTACAGATGATTTTGATGAGACAGTGATTGGTGATCCTGAAACAGACCAAGTTTTGGCTGAATTTGATTTTCTTGCTGATGAGAACAAGTCAGATATCTCTGATAATGATTCACAGAATAAAGAACAAGGTATATTGAAATAATGTACTGTTATACCCTGAAGAGCAAAATTATCAGGTTCGGGTTGTACGAAGGCTATCCACTGCATAGTGAAATTTTCCAACCTTTCTAAATGGTGCCTATATTAGCCTTGATTAAACTTTACTATTTAAAAATTGAAGTCTCGTTTTATAAATGGCAAGGTTTGTATCTGTGGTTTTACCGCTTTTCAGAGATTTTTCAAAAGATTGAAAAAGTCACCATCCAGTGGGATATATAGTGCTATCCAGCGTTCCTACAACCCTTGGTATTAATTTAACAAAATAAAACAAAAGTAGGGAGTAGTTTGCCTTCATTGGTTAAAAAAAATGTATAGGATAGCGAGTAGTAGTTCACCCAATCAGATTACAAAATAGCTCATTTACAGTAGATGGCTATATTACAGATTGCCTTAATATACATTGCTTTTGTGTTTTTATAGAATTAAACGTCGCAAATTCTCCCTCACCAAATGTAAGTCAGTCAAGTAAAGGGCATTTTAATTTATGTATTTCCATACAGTTCAGATATTTCACTGGAAAGTTTTTTTCAAAATTCTTGCTATGGGAATACTAATAGACCATTTCCGAATGACGTCAATGATTGTCAAGAACAATGACACCAAATCGTTACTCAATATTAAAGCCCCGTGACGGTCCACACGTGTTTGGATTCGTTTGAAATCCGCTAACATTTTGTTGCGGATACACCTTTCGTCCACACGTATCCGACGAAAACGCACACTGTAACCGAAAACTTTTGAAAACGCTCTCCAGAGTAGAAACTTTTGAAAACGCAATGAATCCGGATACGTGTGGACGCACTGTAACCGGGACGTTTTGAAAACGATGATTAGATATATCAATTATTTGTTTGTCACAGTAAATAGTAATAACGATTAAGGGTTCAGCTTTTGATTGACAACTTTTTTGTGAGATTCCATGGAAAAATGACCAAATATACGAGCCGTTTCAAAATTGGGAAAATGCGATTTCGAATGGGAATTTTTATTCGTTTCCTATGCGGTCATTTTCCTTTATAATGATACAGAAAAAGTATCAATGGACAGCTAAATGCCTGAATGTTTTGCTGTGTAAAAATTTTATCTATAAACTATATCTATAACGCACGCGAAAATGCTAAAGTTGGATTTAATATGGGTAAATATCAAGATTTTTGTGGCATCTTACTCGAATGAATAATAATATTTGATGGGTATTGTGGATGGAAATTGTCGATTGGAAATTTATATACATTTATTAGACCTATAACCAGGAACAGCTGCGAAAAATGTAACTGTAGGTCCCTGCCAGGAATCGAACCTGGCTGCGGCCCTGCGATTCCGGTGCAGTGCTCGAACCAACTGAGCTACAGAGGCCAGTTGTCGAGCTCTAATCAGGCCAAAAAAAAAATATGTGGGTTTCCGGTTTCCCGACCCTACCTAGCTTTTGGACGTCGAAATCCCGACCCTAAACTTTTTTATTGGATCATGGTTGTAAGTGTTTCCACTTAGAGGAAAAAGTTTGTGGAAAATTGAAATTTGAGGCAATATTAGGGAAATTTATCTTTGGATGTGGAAGCACTGACTAAACAAAATGGCGTCCGCTTGTTCGGAAAATTAAAAAAAGTTTAAAAAAAAAAGTTAAAACCGACCTACCCTACCTAAGTTTTTATACGAAGAAACCGGAAACCCACATATATTTTTTTTGGCCTCACAAGTTCATGTATGTATACCGTATATATACTCGCTTCTGTTCCTGGTTATAGGTTCCACTCGAAAATTTTCATCTACAATACCCATCAAATAAAGTTGGATTATCTTTTTTTGATCTGAATAAATAATATTTTTCATAATATGGATTTCGCTCGTTTTTCTAGTGTTTATCAGTAAATGCACGTACTTTTTTCTAGGACGAGTGGGGAGTGGACTCTAGCACGCTAGCCAAGCTTAAAGAACAATATAAGAAAGACGTCAAGCGAAAAAAGAACCAAAAACGTAGGTGCAAGCATCTAGGAAACGGTAGACAATCTGAAGTGGTGCTGACATTAGAGAGTTTTAGTGGTGCTACCTGACATTAGAGAGTTTAAGCTTCGCGTTCATACGTCAAACTTGAAAAATTGTCGTGGTTGAAAAATCATTGCTACAGCTTTGTTACACAGTTATTCAGCTATCATTCAAAGGCTTTCAGAA